CTTCGTGATCAGAAGGAGGTGGAGAAGCACAGAATTACCTGTGTGACTCATCGGCCCTGAGCCAACAGTGATGATGCCACAGGGCAGGCACACAGCGGGCACACGGCGAGCATGTGCTCATGGCGCCCCAGCAGGCCCGCACCCGGGAGCAGCCCTCTCAGCAAATCGCTGCCTCCTTTCCCCTGACACTCCACCAGGCCCCCAGTGACGCTGGTGTGATAGGACAGGGGGCCACAGTGGGTCTGCACTCACTCCAGTACCGACCCCCACAGTCCACACTGCGGACAATGACGGACGCCCTGAGCTGCCGGTCTCATCGCTGACTCACGGAGAAGCCCCACCTTCGTGGAAAAACCACCCTGTAAGAGGGGGTGCCGTGAAGAGCCCACCCTTACCTACCCCTGGAAAGTGGAAAAGGGGCCAATGACATGCATGCCCCCGGGCTCAGCTCTCCTACCTCATTTAACACAGTAAGGGGGCTCTTATTTAACTTCACTGAGCTGTGTAGGTCCCTTCCCATCCCAGAACAACACAAGGCATCTGACACACACAGCCTGAAATGCGCTGGGGCCAGATGCCCTGTAGACGGTGAAAACATCAGTTTGGTAAAAGCATCCAACCGCCCTGCAGGCGGCCGGCAGTGAGCCGAATGAGCTCATCCTGGGGCCATCATGTGAGGGATGTCACTGCGGCCTGGTCCCAGGTGAGGCTGCCCAGTCCCACTCCCTCCAGGGTGACAGGCAGAGTGGAAGAGGGTCATGAGCTATTGTCTGATTCATGAGACATAGGTATGTGCCACTGAGTAAGTGTGAGACACCAGCATCTAATGAACACAGAGCTGGACAGCTCACCAGAGACCCCTCACAACCACCCCAGAAGGAGGCACACACCCAGAGGGACAGCGTGACATACCAACAGATCAGAAGGCCACATCTTCCACGCTCACCACACGCTCAGCACACACTGATCCACGGTCACCACACACTGACCACAGGAGCAAACCGGGAGTACGTGGGGGGGGGGGGGGGGGGGGGGGGGGGGGGAGGAGTATGCCAAAAAAAAAAGGTGGCTTTATCTCAAAATGAGTAATTCCCCTGGAAAGCACAATATATTTACACTTGTCGTCCATAAGGGACCAGCAGGAAGATGTGTGAACATTCTCAGAACTTATTCTGATGAGGATGTATTTCTACTCCCAGCAAAGGAAACAACTTCCAAATCACAGCGTGACGACCACAAGTGGCTCCTGCTGCTCGTTCACTCAGCAGGGAGGCAATCCTGGGACACTGGTGTCATTCTGGGGTCAGACTGCCTGGCTCTGAAGCCCGATCACCCCACCGAGTAAAAACGGCTGGATGCTTTCTCCTTAGCACCCGGAAGACAGTTACCGCCTCTGCAATGGTCCCCACTTTACAGGGTCACGTGGGAAATACAGAGGGCGGTGCCTGCAAACCTCAGAAGGGCCTGGTCACAGTCACTTCTCCCTTCACACAACACAGCATGAGCGGTGGCCGGGCGCTGTCCTTGGTGCTGAGGACCCACCACTTCTCCCCTCACACAACACAGCAGGAGCGGCGGCCGGGCGCTGTCCTTGGTGCTGAGGACGCACCTGCCCCCTGCCAAGGCGCCTGCCCTGGGTCACAGGAGCATGAACACACACAGCAACGTCAGGCATGGTGACTGCTATTACACAGGATAAAACTGGGTGCAAGGACAGGAAGACGTGGGTGGGGGCAGAACAGTGATTATTTTAGACAGAATGGTTAAGAAGGCCCTCTCCGAAGAGGTCATACTGAACCAAGAAGCCGATGGCTCATTAATCAAGAACAGAAGCTACGAGGTAGTCCCTCTAAGGTCAACTTGGTCCCCACAGTGTGGATCTGAGAAAATCAGGAAGGGAAGGGATTGCTGCCTTATTTGTACTGTGTGTCCTAACAGACATGGGGGGGTGGCGCGTTTCCAGAGATCCTGCCATCAAGCCACTGTAACAGCTGAAGCAGTTCCTCCTTTTCAGCAATCTTCACTTGTGACTGAGAAGCGGGTGACTTTCCAGCAAACCTACGCAGCCTTAGGGCAGCGCCTTGTCTCCCTCCATGGTTGAGAGCTCGGGAGCACCTATTTCACTCTCGAACCAGACACACTGGTGAATCTCTAGTGGAGGGTCAGCCTGCAGGCACTGCCCACCCCCTGCGTGCTGGAGGGCCAAAGTGATGTGGGGCCATCTACACTGGGGCCCAGCTGCTCCACGGCAAACAGACATCGAGAGGCCCTGAGGACAGAAGCCTGTGCCAGAACATGTGAGGCACAGCAACGACCCGGGCAGACTGGGAATTGCGTGGTTTTCCAGGATGCTCCTTTTCAGCCAGCAGCAGGGCCGACCCTCAGGACCTGGCTGGGAGCCCCTCTCCCAGAACTGCTCTCGGCCTCAATTTACAAACCAAAAAGCAAACAAACAAAATTAGCAGTTGCCTCGTGTTTAACTCCACACACAGCACCCTCCACCTTCACACATGCACCACACTTAAATTTCCAAAAGGCAAATTCCCTGTCTGCTAAGACATCACTGAAGATAGTTTAAAAAAAAAACAAAACAAAACAAAACAAAAAAACAAACACGCGTAACAACCCCAAAGGCCAGCGAGGATGCAAAGACTGGGTCCCCACACATCACTGGTGGGAACGTCAGATGCACAGCCACTTGAGAAGGCTGGGGCAGTTTGCACAAATCAAAACACTCAACCACCAGATGCCCCGGGAACTGCACTCCAGGGCATTCAGTTGAGAGGGAGGAAAACCCACAGATGTGAGAACACCTGTACGTGCATGCTCACAGTAGCTGCATCCATGATGTCCAAAACCCAGGGGAGGCCCAGCTGTCCCTCAATAGGTGAGTGGTGGCCTGGTGGCCTCTGTCTCTCAATAGGTGAGAGTGGTCACACAAGCTGTGCCCCATCTTCCCTCAGACCCCTCTTTAGAATAAAGGGATAGAGCCACCGATGGACACATGTGACAACCAGGATGAGCCTCCAGGGAATCACGGTGAGCGCACAAAGCCACTATCGAAGCTTCCAGAGTGGATGATCCCATTCATAGAATATTCTCAACGTGACGAGTCTATAGGACAGAGCACAGACTCCTGCCTGCCGGGGATTAAGGATGCGGCATGGGGAGGAGTGGGCTATGGCCACAAACAGCTAGCAGGAGCGATCCCGGTCCTGTATCCTGGCCCTGGGATGGCTGCACAAATAGACACACGTGGTGAAATGGCAGAGGACTGAAGGTACACCCCCAGCTCCCAACGGCGGCAGTGCACAGTAGGAAGGCAACGGCACCACTGGGGGAGATGGGCGACGGCACACGGGATCCATCTGTGCTGTTCCTGCAAGGCAGGTGGATCACAGCTACCTCAGGGAAAAAGTCGGCAAACACAAAGTGATACAGCGGAGAACGAAAGGAATTCAAGAGACACTGTGAACAAGGGCCGCAGATTCAGGAGAGCGGACTTCCAAAGGGGATTTAAGGAAGACAGTTCATCTGCGTGTATTTAAATGCCAACAATTATTTCCTAACAAGTTCCCCTTTCACAGGGGTGCAATCATAGGGGGTATGACCGCGAGGTGTGCTCACAGGGGGTGTGATA